AAAGACCCCAGGCCAAGAAGCAAACCCAAGACCTTCTAGCTGTAACAGTTTAAGAATGATAATATACTTTTGGCTCAGGACATCATGAGTATTGCACATTTTTGGATGGTTTCACATGTTATTGCACATCTCTGCTCATATACCCTGTAATGGTACAATAATACATTCTGTTTCTCTTGGACACTTTGACCTCACTCACATTCCTGTTCTTGCTTTGCTCTCTTGGTAAGTTCATTTCAAAGATGCTGTGCAAATGTAGCTGCACGATTTAAATCTAGACAGTTTTGTTTTTTGCTGTAAAATAGTTTTTTGGTTTTTTTTGTAATTTGTAAAATGGTTCCTAAAACATAAAGTGTTAAGTCCTGCCTCTGATAGACAAACTTTAAACTTGTAATAATACTAATGCTTGAGAGTGAAGTAATGAGTGCTGACATGTTTTATTTAACACCACGAGGGAGAGACTAAATTAAAACAGCTCCTCAGCTGTCGTCAAACAATTCATTGATTATTATAAATCACAACTGTTGCATGTTTCTGTCTCTCTTTGCTCCCCGGCTGCAGATAAATGTTTCTCCAACCAGACCAGCCCCAAGTGCATCTCCTCTTCCTCTTCCTCCTCAGAGGTGGAGCCCAACTCCTCTTCCTCCTCGTCTTCCATCCTCCCTGTCAGCCAGATGATCGACAAGGTGAAAGGTTACTGTTCCACGCGCTCCGACAACTTCTACAAGAACATCATCATGTCTGACAGCTTCGCCCACAGCACCAGGTTCTAGATCCGTCCTCAGCGCTCTGGAGCCTCCAGAACCGTCCATGTTGTTATCATCCTGCAGACAGAGGATGCTTCTGTTAAAGCAAAGGTTCCAAAATGAAGTGTAACCCTCAAGTCCAAGTCGTTGTTCTGGGCCTGCCGCCCAACATTCTGGAACCTTTTTGTGTTCTGGAAGTTCCAGAACGCTGCCTTCCGACATTCAAGAACGCTGTGTCCCGTGGAACCGTTCCTGATGTTCTAGAACTCTCCGACAGCCTCAACAGTCTAGAACGCGCCGTGTTCTGGAACCTTTCCTAACATTCCTTCCTGGCTCTGTCCCGGTCCTAGAGTTGTGTTCTAGAACATTTGTTTTTCCATGCACTGTCTCTTCACCATCACCTAGAACTCCTGCATCGTTCCTGCTGTCCCTCTCACTGCTCCCACAACTGTGAAACCAATTCAACTCCAGTGTATTTTGTTTGCAGACATAAAGCCTGTCTTCCACTGCAGGAACTTGCAAGATGCTTTTAGGGCCACATGAGCCTCTGTGCTGTTCCACCCACAGGACCCACCAGTGTAGAACCTCTTTCAGACCTGCTGCAATGTGGGTGCTTCTGAGCAGCCCTGGAAAAAAAAAAAAAGAAAGAAACCAACCCTGCAAAACCAATAAATGCTGGTTGGTTAAACTCAGACATCTCAGTGAATGGTGTTTATTCTGCCCTCTCTATGTATACAGAAACACTGCAAAGCCTTCAAAGCTGTATTTCCTTTATACTCGTAGAACTCTCAGTTACAGTCAATAAGTACTATTTGACATTGCTTTGGCAAACTCAGAGTTAATGTTGCAATTGGATCTGTGAGGTCCTGCATCAAAATAAGCACAGAAAAGCAGTCAGAGCACATTTCAGAGCTCTTCTTGTAACTATTAGAGCCACCAAACACTTGCCAAGAGTTCCTGCAGTGGAAAGTTGCCAACATTTGTTGTAGGAGCCACAGTTTTTACTGCAAATGTTAATCGGCCAACTCGAGAATCCACAAGGAGCTGACTGGCGTGTCTGACTGAATACTAATCTGATTTCCTCAGCACCAGTGCACCATGTATGATATGGAGTGAAAATGCATGAACAGCTTCATGATGTAATCTTTTGCATTGTATGGAAGTAAGCGCCCCCCAATCGAGAAAAATCTGCCTTTTCATTGAACAAGTTCGAAGGGCAGCCTGTGAACTTGCTGAATCAAATTTCTAAAAAGCCAGGGACCAAGTTCAAAGATAATCATGGAGTAAGTGGCGTGTTATTTTTTTGAAGTCTCCTGGATGACAAGGCGTATTGAGAGCTACAGGGTGGTCAGAGACGCTGATGCGATTCTACTGTATCATATGAAATTACAGAATCGGCTGACCTGGCTGCCAGACTGTGTAACTAAGAGGAAATGAAAGGGGAGCGAGGGGAGGGGGGAGGAAAGGATAAACACGAGGTGGGAAGGTAGAGACCGCTCTGGTTGGGGGGGGATAAAGTAGGCTGTTGTGTTTTGTTGTCTCTTTTTTTTTTTTAATACTGTGATATTTGTTAAAAGTGGACATTTGTGTGTGTGTGGAGCCATATCCTCTGTAAATATTGATCTATCTATTCGATGTGCCTTATTCTATAGTGTTCAGATGGTTGCTTTTGTTCATGCCTGTATGGGGTCCTGGAGGGGTCACCGCGACTGTACATACAAACCCAAACATTCTCCAACTCCCCATGCTGCGCAGGCACACAGTCTGCTGCCCTTTTCACCTCAGCCAGAAACAAGAGGTGGCAACACAAAGGGCAGAAACAAAGAAGTTTTAATCAAGAAAGCACGGGGCCAGTTGATCACGGTGCTTTCTGGTGTTAGAAATCAAATGAGGACACCCTTATGTCATGTTTACTGCCATGAAAAACACAGCTGGTGTCTCTATCAGTGGAATGCCCGTCTTCATCAACACATATTCTGAATTTATATCACAAATATTGCAAATGTGACAATGTCTTGAAGCTTGGAGATGTCAAGACGTTTAATGATTGTAATACTCACCACATTCAGTTGGCACTCTCTCCCATAAAGCTTGAGATTCTCTTGCGGAGTCAATGAGTGGCTGCTTGAGGGCAAATAATACAATCCATCCAGTGGCCGCTGAAGCTTCACTCGTGTCAGCCAAAGTTTAGCAATCATATGGGGCGTCATTTATGGAAAACGGCTTCACTGTTCAAATGTCTGTTTTTGTTCAGAAATTGGTAATAGCGGGGCGACCTGACAGCCGAGTGGTTAGCACGAACACCACATGGCGCAAGTCGTGGGTTTGATAATCGGCCGGCTGAAGCCCCGCTACATGACATTCCCCGGCTCTCTGTCCCCACATTCCTGTCTGTCTTGACTGTTCCTTTCAAATAAAGGCAAAATGCCAAAAAAATTAAAGGAATCTGTTTATAGTTTTGTTTTAATCACTTTGACAAAATGTCCCAGCATGAGGTAAGTCTCCCTTTGCTGCTGCCAGGATGATAATTTTATTACGCAAAGGACTGATCTCGAAATTCACTCAAATTACAACAAAATTGTGGCGTCTGACCATAGTTTAGCTTTTTCAGCTGGACTCTGATGATCACTGTGGTCACCCCAATGTAATAAAATGATTGTCCTGGTTCTTCAAAAGTCGACATTTGAAAACCTCAGAATCAATGAGTCTGAGGCCTCGTCCACGTGTAGCAGGTGTCTCACGAAACAAAGATATTTTTCTACGATGTTTCCTGTCATCCACATGAAGATGCAGATTTACGGCATTAAAAACGATTCTGTCAAAAACCTCCGACCAAAGTGAAGATCTGTGAATCCTCCATTTATGCGTCTGTATGTGGACGTCAATAACCAGGTTTTAGGTTTCAAAACATCACTGCCTTTGACAAAATATGTTCTTTACATCACATATGTGACCTGTGTTTACATTTGGAAACAGCGTGGACGCCCTCAGAACTGTGTTGGCGTTGTCTCTGGTCCAGGCCCAGATACCGCTCCACGTACAAGAACACAGGAGGAGGCCGACGGTAAAGACGGTTACGATCCGCCACCTTGACATTCCACGTCTGAGGCATGTTCTCCGTCAGAGACACCAACCCTGGTTTTGGGTCAGACGGGACGCACTGCCAGCTGGTGGGAAAACTTTGAGACAGAAATCGTGCTCCAGGAGGAATGACGTGACAGTTTCCGTATGTCCTGATCGTCGCTCCTGTCGTTGGGAGTTATTACATCCTCACATAGAATATGAATGTGCTGAACAACGCACTAATGCGCTTTGGTGTGGATGAATTCCTTTCTACAAACGAGGTGGTGTGTACGTAAGTTTTTTTCTAGGCAGAGGGGGGAGGATATTTGGTTTTACAAAAACCCTGCTACGTGTGGACAAGGCCTGAAAATAAAAAAAAAATAATGACTCCAGAGATTCTGCAAACCTCTCAACTGTTGGTTCACAGTTTTCTTAGCTAGAGGATATTTCCCAATGGAAGCTGCTGACAGTGAGGTCTGTGTATAATCTGAAGTAATGAGAACATTGTTTCTGGAAGACATTTTTATTATTTCAGGCCCGCAAGTGAAATCTAACCAACGTCCATCCATGTAGTTGCAAGAAAATCTATTTGAAAGTTATGAACCCACTACTGAGAGTTCTTTCACTTGAACATTAATCAAAACTCATCCACAAAAACCAGAGTTTCGTCCCCATTATTCCATCACTTTGTAACACAGAACTGCGGCGGTATTGTCAACATTTCCTGTCCTTTGTCAGACTTTTATACAGCCTGTCAATATCAATATCCTGTCAGTAGATGAATCATTTTCTTCCCATTTGAACTCAGAGGGGATGGCATGCCTGCTCTGAATATAATAAGATTCATGTGAGGAATTCTGCCTGAAATCACCTCCTCGCATAAACCAACTTTAAATATGACGTCTAGACTTTATTTGCTGTCTAAATAAAAGTCATTAGCGGCAACAGTTTGGCCCATAAGAGCATTTAGTCAACATGTTTTCTGTCCCATCAAAGCTGCAATTTTTCTTTTGGTTTTTCTCTTTAACTCAAGTGCAACTTCTTTAAGTTCTGTTGCGTCTGTATCTTGGATAACACAGAAATATATCACTGAAATTGATTCTTATTTTGGGGGTTTTCGTGTGGAAACCTTTAATTTAGCTGCAGTTTGGTTCATAGAATATCCTTTTAAGGCCTCATGAGAACAGCTGTAGGTATGGGGGGTTTTTGTGTGTGCATAATGTCAACGTGAGTGTGGGACCCAAAACGAGAGGGAGGCAGGTTAAAAGGAAGAACGGGTTTATTTGGGAATCCAGGGGGATGAGAGGGGCACCTGGAGGCAGGTGAGGGATCCGGGGTCCAGAGGGTAGCAGGAAAAACCAGGGGCGAGGGTGGTGTCTCGTGCTGGTGCTGGGGAGGGGAGAGGTGAGGCTGGTGTGGGAAACCCGAATGGCTGGACGCAGAGGCTGAACGGAGAAGACGCTGGAGGAACAGGGAGAAACTAAGGTTACTCGTGAGCTCGAGAATAATCACAAAGAGAAAACTTAGTGAAGACGACTAAGTGGCCTGAATGTACCGTGTGTGGGGGAGGCAGTCATCTGGCGCTGGAGCACAGGTGAACGGTGGCTTTGTCCAGCGCGTTGATCAGGATGATGAGCAGCGTGTTGGAGCGTCGTCCTCCAAATCAGCCCAGCCTGAAACTCAGAGACAACCAGTCGCACACAAAAAACATGACCGCAGGAGAAAACAAAAACACACTGAACACGTCTGTATCACCACACATAATGTCCAAACTATTACTCAGAAATATATTATTTTCTTTTCAGTGAAGTTTTATTTGTACTCGCCTTAAAGCAGTCGTTGATTCCTTGATGACCTTCCACAACAGAATCACTATTTAAAGTCAATATTTTTTACCATTGAATTAGTTTTGATAACTTTATATATATTGTGTTGCATTGACAAAAATGACATATTTACATGCCAACCTGCTGTACATAACGTCTCTATTTTTGATCTGATTGGTAACAAATTGTGTCATTCTTGTTTAAACGGACAGTGTCGGACTTTTTCTCCCTCTTCTGGCAGCGAGACTGATTATAAAAGTACTGCAGACACATGTTTAAGCCTCATTATGTATCACAGACTGTAAGGCTTCCTGTCAGTGTCTTTTTGATCAGAAGCTTTTCTTGGATGCTTCCAAGGTTTTTCCTCAACACTTATAACTGCTGTAACTTTCTCCGTCTTACAGTTGCTTCTTTCCTCAGCTCCGGCAAACCAGTCATTGCTGGTGAATGCATTGCTGCTGGTGCACCAGTGCAGGAATGGCACCACAAACTCCAGATCTAAATCTCTGATACGCCGTGAAAAGCAAAGTGTTACTTGACACTTTGGGCTTAATCAGCATTGTGTGAACTCATTTGGCTTAACTGTAACAGATAGTGAGTAAGTAATCCTGCACTCCAGCATTCAGGATCTGTACTTTTTGTCCAGTTTGCCAGCAAACAGCTACACTTAATCTCCGCTGACATGAACCCTAAAATATCTGCTGCTAGTTTTTACAGAACCAAGAACCACATATTCTGCGTATTAGGCCGCGTTAATGTTTAGACATGAAACATGGAGTTTGGTCTGCAAACAAGATCAAATCTAGTTTGTCAGGAGTGTTTTATATCAGGTTTGGAAATTTCACATTTTTGTGTAAAATTACTTATTTTTGATAAATGAAAAAAGATAAAATAGATTTATGAACAAGCTTTTCTGGTAAAAGTTGTGTCACTGACCAAATATATCCTCCAGTTTCCCCTCGCTGTCTCCATAAAAGACAAGCAGGTTGAATAATTTCTGTTGCTTTGGACCATTTTTTTGTGGTGATTTGTCAGTACTAAAAGTGATTTAGCTTCCACACAGATCAAAGTTGTTATTTAGTTGAAAAAAGAGGGAGTTTCTACTTTTCCTGTTGTTCCTCTTGTTGGTTTCAGCCGCCGTCAAACATGCTTTGCACAATAATTCGTGTTTTTTTTTGTTTTTTTCCTTGTCTTCCAGAAGCTTCTAAACCATGTTTTGTTTGTGGGATACTTTTACTTGTTTGTTTGCTGCCCGCCTGCTTAAGCAGACAATCATCTGAACTGAAAAGTGGAAGTTGGAGGACGAACAGAGAAGCTCGCCTCAAATCTTTTGGGGATGAGGTTTACAGTCTGGCTCTTTGAACCTCGATTCGTCAACTGCTGGCTCGCCGGACTTCCACCGTCCACGCGGAGCCAACAGTGTTCAACACCAAAGCACAACTGAGTAGTGCGGCCTGTACTGCATCGACTGTCAGGCATCCTCCTGCACGCATCTCTTTTCTGTTGCCCAGAGTGGTGAAAGTATCATTCAGCCTACTGAAACAAACACCCAGACAGCTTCGTTAATCTGACCCTCCCTGGGTTTAGCTGGAGGGTGGAACAGATAGCTGATATATTTTCTGTGGGCCCCAAAACACAGATAAAAATAAAGCTCTGAATGAATGACAAAAGAGGATTAAATCCACTGACTAGTATTCGTGTGATTGATTATTGGGCTGACACTTTTTTCAATATAGACCCAAAATCTAGAGAGTGATTCAAGCAGCAACACACAAAAGCAGTTTGTTATTAGATCATCTGCCAACCAAAACCTCAGAGTTGTCCTGCATATCAGAGGCTCATCACTTGAATTTTATAAGCAATGCCCACTGAAAAACACCCAGATTAACAAAATGTACAACCCACTGAGACCGGGTTGAAATGTAGGTAAAGATAAGATACATGCTGATATTATTCTACATTTTAGAAATTATTTTAAAATGTATTGCTCTCGTATGAACTACATTTCTTTATAAAACACATTAAAAAAGAGTTAAACCAAAGTTCAAACCATAAGACACCAACAATGACTAAAAGACGAGTCTGAATAAAAGACAATGAAAGAAAACAAATTAAAGATACAACATAGTCAGCAATGAAGACAGGTCGACTTTCCAAAGTCTGAGCAGATCTCACATGGAAAAGAAAACCGTTCCAGAGATTAGCAGCATCTGTGAAGACTCGATCACGTCTGCTTTTATGTCCGTGTCTTAGAACATCCAGGAGCATCTGGTTGGTCGAACTCAGTGCTCTACCTGTGGTATGAAAACGTAAGAATTCTGCTACATAAGGCGGCGCCACGCCAGTTAAAACAAAGCAACATTAAAATCTTTAAATACAACTTGAAACTGACAAGAAGCCAGTGGAAGGAGGCCGGCACACGTGATATGTGATCAAGCTTTCTCTTTTTTCTCTGTTAAAAGATGAACATTTTTTACTCGCTGTGCCAACACACAGAGCATCACAGCGGGCTCACTGTGCGGTAATAAAGGCACGTCTTTAGGATGAAGACGGACT